AGAAATTACTGGACCTATATAATACGGTATTTTTGACTGGCCATATACCCTACATGTTGAAACTGGCAGCGGTTGTTCGAATTCCAAAGTGAAAAAATGTCTCCACCGTATCGGATTATCGCCCAATCTCTGTTTTACCTTGCCTCTCAAAGGTATTGGAAAAGATTATGGCATCTAGATTATCTTGGTTTCTTAAGTCCAAGAACCTGATAACAAAGCAACAAGTTGGTTTCAAGCGGGGTAGAGGGTGCATCAACGCTCTGTTACATTTTGATTATTTTACAAGCAAAGGAATTCCGAAATCATGTAACAATTCTCTCAATTGATTTTGAAAAAACATTTGACAGAGTTGGTCTTCACGTTATTTTAAGACTCTTGAAATCATGGAATGTTGGATCCAAATTTTTCAACTACATCAAATCATTCATGTCGCATCGGTGGTTTAAAGTTAGAATCAACAATCATCTCTCTGATTTCTTTCCGCTAATTAATGGCATTCCGCAAGGATCTCCGCTTTCTGTCATGCTTTTCCAGATCGCCTTCAACGAAATTAGCAAAATTCTTTGCCGTGTACCAAGAGTGGAACATTGTCTCTACGCGGACGATGTATACATTTTTACAAAAGAAAAAGATAGCACGAAGGCAATCAACATCCTCCAATCTATTGGACGAGAGATCTCCGCATGGACAAACTCGTCAGGGGCTAAAATTCCCATACAAAAATCTAAAAAAATACACATTTGTCGGAAGCAAATATGCGATGCAAGAAATCTACTGATGCATATTAATGACTTACCAGCACTAAACGTGCAGACGCTGCATATTCTCCGGCTCACTTTTTCCAACAAATATCGGTTAAAAAATTTTATTTTAACAAGGGTGAATTTCATACAGTACGTTGCTTGGAGAAGCCATGCGCATATTAACACTGTTGCTTATCTTACTAAAATGCTTGTATTAAGCAAGATTGACTATGCTTTGATAATTTATGGCAATAGCTGCAAATCTAATATCAACATCCTTAAACCGGTCTGTCACCAAGCCGTCAGAGCAAGTTGTTATGCTTTTCGGACGACGCCCATAAATAATATTATAAGTATAAAAGTCTCCCAACTTTAGAAAATAGACTTTATGAGTTAAAAGCTAAAATAGTCCCTAAGCTTCTTAATTCAAACAAATCCATTCTCGGTGATGACGTAAGAAAGATTACTATTGCGAAGAAAATTCCAAAGTCACCATCTGCAATTGACCATTGTTTGTGCATCGCAAAGGAATTGAACATTCCCTTAACAATTTCCCGCTCTTTTGGTGTTAAACCTCCCTGGATTTTGAAAGACTGCTCCTTTGACATCTCACTGTCTATGCACAAAAAAGAAGATACTCCAAATTACGTCTTCAGGAATCTAATAATAGCTGAAAAAACCCAAATATTGGAGAGTACTGGTTGGAATTTTTTAAACACAGACGGCTCAAAATCTTCTGGTCTGCCTCCTGCTTGTGCCGTGGTAGATGCTAAAGGACAGGTTCTTCTCAATCACATATTTCACGAAAATACTTCAATCTTCATAACCGAAGCCAGAGCTATCCTTCACGCTGCGAATCCTGCCCATAAAAACAAACTCAAACCCGTCATTGTTACCGACAGTTTGTCTGTATTACAAGCTATTCGAAATCCTTCGACTTCAAGATGAAGCACCATCAACAAATTAAGGAATATAATTACAAAACCCGATGGAAAAATTAAAATTTTATGGGTAACAAGTCACATCGGTTTATTGGGAAATGAGCAGGCTGATCGAGCGGCACAGTATGCTGCTTCTGCTCCTCTAATTATGGATGATGTCATGGTAAAGTTGGATCTTCATGGAAGATGCATTGAAAGAAAAGTTAAAGAGAAAATTGCAGAAAAAAATTTACAATACCATCATCAACACTACTCTTCCATTAACCCCCAATTAACTCCACCTTTATGTCCAACAAATGTTGAGAAAACCAAGACCCAAACATTTTCGAGAATTCGCCTTGGTCATACAATTGCAACCCACCAATGGATCTTGAAGAAGTCTTCCTCCGCAATCTGCAGTTGTGGACAAACTCTCACTATAAAGCACATTCTCTGCGACTGCCTTAACTTTTCCTTGGCTAGAAGTATTGCATTTGGAACGACTAACCCTTTGGACATTCTAAAATCAGCTTCAGAACAGAATATCAATTCAATATATTACTTTATTAATACTACTAAGCTCATTATCTAATGTATATTTATTTAAATTAGAGGTGATTTCATTAGTCTAAATTTATCATAATAATAATAATAAATCAATTTCAGAAACATATAGATGTTCCAAATTTTTCCCCAAATAACTCGGCATCGAATCTGTTGGAAAAACACGAAAGAAAGAAAAAAGGTATCCATCACGTGACAGTATAATATTTGTGCTCACCGTAAATAAGATCAATTTGACGACGGTTGGAGGCTTTCCACTTTCAAAAAAGTTCTCGTTGAGCTGCTTTTGCAGTCGCTTTAGAAATAACTGAGAGAATATCAGAAGGCCAGAGGAGATGGATGTGGATTTGCATTGTAAAAACTTTGTGGATGTAAATCTCTAATCGCAGCAGTAATGAATGACGTAACTAATATAAATGGTACAGAAATTAGTTTTTCTTTTTTAATTTTGAACATAAAACAAGTAAGAAAATTACATTCGGTAGTGACCGAACCTTTTGTACCCATTACCGTTATCCTAAAACAGACCAAAAAATAAAATAACTAAATTTTACGGAGTAAGGGCGGCTGATTTTTTTCTTGTTTCAAACTAAGGGTTTTTGTCATAGAGGCATGAGGGCGTTGTAGGCGTGTCAAGTTTAGTCAAATCAAAAGTTTAAGTCAAATCGAAATTCTTTTGCAAATTTGTAGGCGATATCTTCACTTTCACGAAAGGAAGAATGTTTAACACAAATACTATAAAGTTGCGACATATGGAAAGACGAACAGGCGGATATTTTTAGGTGCAGTTCACAGTTGAAATTAGCCAAGAATTTAAATACTTTATGAGGTTTATGGAGCTTATTTCTGCGCTTTGTAAAAAAAATTAAAATTTGATACACTAGAATAGTGGGTAGGCCTGGTCAACTTTTTCCATTTTTGTACATAAATGCTACCGCTTCGCCCAGACAATACGCGTTAAAGTTTTTGTATATTTATTTGTTATAGTTTATAGTATAAGTACAGTAATGAACAAAAAACCATTTTTTTATTCCTTTCGAAAAACAGAGTGGTGCCGTGGGTTCCTCGACTGATTTGGCCCCTATTGCATACCAATCTGCTTGCAAGAACTTTCAATTTCGCTGCCAAAGTTGAAAACGACAGCTTCATTTTTGCGGCCAGGAGAATGTTCGCAATAGAATCAAGAATATATATACTTTGTGGGATCTCTGATGCTTCCTTCGGGGGGTTGCATACGTTTTGACAAAATGAACATTCCTCTCATCCTTCATAGATAGATATAAAAGCAACAAGTGCAAAAATTATATTTATCTATGACCGAACCTTTTACACCAGACATCTTTCAAAAAAAAAAAAAACGACAAAAACTTATTTTTGTTACTTTATAATATTGGGTGAACTTGAACGACTTTCTTCATCCTTTGAACAACTATTGCACGATCAACCATAGAACGTAGAACATAAGTAAAACGTTTTATCGTTATATCTGTTGTAGTTTATAGGAAATAATTAAAGCTTTTTTGTTGTTAAAATCAACTGTGTTATGTTATGCTGTAGACGGATACTTTCACCCATGCAATGGTCCGTTAGCAATACACCTACTTGCATATCGTCCAATGCTTTTGCCTAATTCGAGATTGACATCCCAAGCCTTGTGACCAAGAAAGTGTCCATCGTATACCTATTCGCTGATTGATGTAGGAACCTACCTACCTAGATCGAGCTCAATTTGTATCACTATTATTATATGTAATAATTCTGTTTTTGTTTCTCGTCGTCAAAACGTATTGCTTACGTTATTGCTAATTGTAGGATGTAAGTTGCGATGCACGTTAATGACCAATCGAATGAGTACAGTCACCTTGTTTATGCAATTTGCTGGTTAAGTTGGTACTTGTATTTCTATATACTGGCCCAAATCAGTGTGTATTTAAGTTAGTAATTGCTAATTTAAAAATCTATTATACAACGTCATATATTCCTTCCAGTCACTTTACAGCTTCATAAGTCTCTTAAGCCGAACTTAAGCCTTTATATAATCAAAAGGCGATACCGGCGATAAGTAAGTAATAGCAGCAATGATAATATTTGCATATACATATATTTTATATAGCTAATATAATAACCAAGAATAGGTAGAAAAAACTAAATCCCAGACCGATATCTAATAGATATTAAAATTTTTGCTTTTTGCAACATTTTTTCGATGTTTGTGATATTCAAAGAAAAATATATGTAATATTTGTCAACCGAATTTTTATGTATAACTCGATTCTGGAATTTTAGCTCGCATTCTTCAATGATGCAAAGGCAATATGAAAATTAATACATTCCTATTTCTTAGCGAATATGTATATACTTATTGCAGTTACTTCAACAGGGGGTTTCGTTTTTCTTTTCTTTAAACGGCACATCTTAGTACCTTCTAACCATCCAGTTTTGCAGCGCTAAAGACTAATTTTAGAGATGATAAAATTCTGTGCTTTATTATCTTTCTTATTATTGAAAATCCGAGCAACTAGAAGTTTTGTAGATTTATTTTATAAAATTGATTGATTACCTGTTGATCTTGATTCTTAATATATTGTTTGGAGATTTTATTGCTTTCAAGTATTTTTGACATACTTAATATCATGATTTCATAGTTGAGCTTTTTATTGTTTGGAAACTTTTCTTGCGTTTCTTTTTTTTTTCTAATTTGTGCTTGAGGTAAGCTAAAGAAATAAAATAAAAATACAATAATTAATAACTTATAACAAATATTATGTATAAAATATATACATGTTATATATAAATGAATAATACATTACAAAATGTTTAACAAAAAGGAAAAAATTGAATCGGCTAAAGCCGTATATTACATACCCATCACCCAGCTTACTGAAAATTCCATATCAAACTAAATTTTAAGTACTTTCAATAATAAAAAAAAAAATTAATAAATAAATAAACGGACATAACAGAATAAATCAGAGTTTGCTCAATTGATTACAACGGATTGACTGTAGAATTTAGTTATCCTTGGTGAAGGGTATAAAGCTGAATGCTAACAAAAAAAAATTCTAATTGTTAAAGCTATCACTTTACTATTACTAGATACATACTTAAGTAGATGCGATTGTATTGACTTATTCAAACCGGCATATTAAGGTGTTTTTACGAAATTCAAAACATACCATCGGAGTGAGCAATAGGTATTAATATAATAAGAAATATTATAAAATTACGAGTCACTAGTTTCCAATCATTGGGTACTGCCACGGGCAGTAAAATTTGTGTAATTCGGTGCACTTCATGTGAGGCACATACAAAGATAAACGAAGTAATAATCATGTTGAGCGTAGGAAAGCCGGGCAGTAGAACTAAAACCCCATGACGGTCTGCAGCCAACCAAATGTGATACTGACAAATAAAAAGTTCGAGCGAAATGCGACCGAACCAGGCAAAAAATGTGGAATAGCGAGTGCGCAGAATACCCGATATATTGCGCAATACAATGTAACCAACTATGGGAATAAAAACAATATATGAATGAATTTCTTCACAATTTTGTTCGTTGCGACAAAGAAACGAGAATGCAGTGTAAAAACCAACGCTCAAAAGAGCTAAAAATGTTACGGTAATGGAAGTGCGTCGAGCAAATAGATTCCCGTGATTGTTATCATCAAAAATACTATATTTTTGTGCTACATGAAAGCAAGCGGCAAATATCATACCAAATATAATAGTGTAACGATCCAGTTTCCATTGATACCACCATTCATGTATATCATCATCCGTAGTAACAAATAAAGCTTTCCATGGACGGGTAACAAAAATTCTCTCAAAGAATACTTCAGACATAAACAAAATTGTAATGACACTGAAACAGCCCACAAATTTGCCCACCAAGTAAAGGTAATGTAATGGGTTTGCGTCCACAGATTGAGCCGTAATGCGTGGCGGTAAAGAAAGTAGAAAATATATAATGCACATCCAAAATGATAGCAACGGTACAAAGTAATAAAATTGATAAGGACGATTCATACAAAAACACAGAATTACGGTCATAAAATTTAAACGAAACATCACTTGAAAAAAGCGCACGAAGCTTGAATTGCCTGTCTGCCACATGTATTCAAAATGCATATAACCTGTATGGAAGAGATAGCCGCTAATTAAGAGCTTAATATGCATGTGTATGGGCAAGACACGGTGAGCGCCAGTCATGTAATATATTAAGACTACTAATAAAATCCAGCCTTTTAATTCATCTGATTGATCTCGATTTAGTACCTTGGTAAAGCGGGAGTCCTCCGTAAAAAAGAGACCCAAAACAAATACATAACCGACTGGTATCCAAAAACTGAACTCCGAATAGTATTTGTTCTCTTTCATAAAGAAATTGGTGCGATCACAGATGTAAAAGTAAGCCATAATAATTCCTAACATGGCCAAGGATACAACTGGTGTAGTGTAATCCATACTGCTGTTAGGCAAATTTAAAGTAGAACCATTTACGTTAGCGGCACAATGTAAACCATTATGCTGAGGCTGCATGGGTGTGTATAAGGTTTGACCACGCAAATGTAAAAGCCATCGGCGCAAATATATGCCACATACCAAAGCAATACTAAAAAGAAAGAAACACAACAATAATGTCGTCAACATAAAAATGACTGATAAATATATACCATACTGCAAATACAGCGTATGTAACTATTTGAAGTAGAGTATAAGGTTCTGCACTACTGCAACAACTGCCATCGTTATAGTTCATGTAATCATTACAGTACATATTTAACAACAACTGTGTATAATGTCGTAATCCCAGATCGCACAATTTATAGCCATCTATTGCGCTATCCGTTAACCCGGTCGATATTTGCCAAGCAGCTTCCCAAACAGTAATATCTGCATAACGGAAAACGCTACGGGCCACTTGGTTCAAGCGATCTATATCTTTATTCAGCACGGCTTTCCAATTGTCAACAAGTTTTTCTTCATTAACCCGATCTTGCAATTTCCACAATACCTTTGATTTCTGTGTAATCAAATGTTCAAATGGTACCACTAGTCTAGTTAGGTTATTGTTATAAGCTTTTAATAAGTCTTCAGTAACATTGCCGTATGTGAAATGACGATAAGTGAAACCAATAACAAAAACCGCATTTTCCTCTGCATCTTCTAATTTGGTCAACCGGCCAAGTAATACATCGGATACCTCATCTGCGTGTATGTATGTAGCACGCATGCTAAGTTTACGATCTTCGAAATTCGTGTCAATGGCTGGTTGCAAAAGCATTGAGCCGTTGTCATCATCATTGGGTTGCAAGTGATTTATAAAGTGTTTATACAACAGATGAATTGAATAATCGCCGATAAAAATGAAGTGATTTTTATAACTCCAAAATGCCAGATAACGCAAGCAACGGCGTGTATCACTATGGTATTAAGAATAATAGTAAGTAAAATAAACGTTATCAACTCGTTTGCCCTACAACCAACATCCACAAACATAAACATTGCTCTGAGTCAGAGGTTAATAATATTTGAAATACTTATCACGGGTAAAGAACTTACGTTTGTGTATATTTGTGCATCATACAACCGTATGGTTGCCATTCATTATCGCCTTTAAAACGTCCCTTGGATAAAAGCCACTGACAAGAGTCACTTCCTGTAATACAAGATATAACAATGCATTTATGTATCATTTCTTTAATTCCACATACCATATTGCCAATTTAATATTCCATGGTAGACAATAAAACCAATTACTGTAATTAAGGCCAATTTCTTAAAATTGTTAGCATTTAATTGTTGTATAAAGTATTCAGCTTTTGAATTGCTGCCACTTTGTCTTGTACTATCGGAAGCACTATTTTGTAAAGCATTTAACTCAAATTCTTCGTTCATCGTGGTTTAGTAATTTTCGTCTAGCTTTTACAACTAATTAATACATCCTACATGTAAAGACATAAATGATTAAATAAACTATTCTGTTACACTTCTATATATTCTTGATTGTTCCTCCTTTTTGTTTACATGTCTTAAGAATCGAATTGGATGAAACATCCTTAATAGACAGTTGCGAATATGCGTAATTTTTATAATATAAACAAAAAACATATGTTATTTGAGAGTTTGAAGTGTAAGGGCTTAGTTAGTAAACTCAAAATATCGACTCGCTTCAGGTCATGCCACGATTTTATTTAATTTATATATATTTGATTGTTTAATAGTCATTTACTTTTCGTTCTCAAGAACTAAAAAAAAAACTGTTGTTATGTAATAGTAATGGTCTAATATATATGATTACATAAGAAGCAAATTACGATACAGAGAAGGCTAGCAATTATTGAACATTATTCGACTTTTCGAGATCTATATCGAGTTATATCGAGAACGGATATTCATCTATTAATAATCTCAATATTGACAATTATACAATTTTAAATGCGTCTCTCAAGCATTTTAATTTTTGAAGCTATTTAATTTCGAGAAAAATATATAATATCATAAACAATAGAGAAATGCAATCAATTTCTTTATATTTGAATTATGTTTTGCGGATTAATTTCTAAACATCCTGGACATTCTTGAAGTCGTCCTAATTCTTCTTCTACTCAGCAAATCAACAATCGAAAATTCGCTGAGATGTGTAAAAAAGGCTTAATGTGCAGACAGAGTTCTTTGTTTGAGCCTTAGTAAAGGAGTTAGGGTTAGTTTTAGTATGTAATTATTATTATTTATTTATTTTATTATTTCTTTGTATTTCGTAATTAGGACTATAAACGATTAATGTCTTGTTAATTTTGCCACGTAATTTCTTTAAATTTTATAAAAATATGCATATTATTCGTCCACCACGTAGGATAGAACAGCGAGGAGTAAATTTCGTAGTGTAAGAAGTATTGTAGTACATGAGTATAAAGTGTCATATGAAAGAACCGATTAGTGCGAGAGTAGAAAAAGTGTAAAAGAGAGTAGATTCATAATCTGGCTGTAAATGTTTATATATCTTGATAACGCTGCTAAATTGTGAGACTACGAAATGTCAAGATTGCTGCGGTAATGAAAACCACAAGCACCCAATTTGCGAAATGTGAAATGGCGTATAAAACTGGCAGAAAATTGAATGCGATCAGGAGATTGTAAGATCCCACATCGACTGTGTTAATTTTAAATAGATGATCATTACATCTCATGTGGTTAATCAACAACTGGCTAATAAGGCAAATAATTTCACGCCTGAGACCGAAATTGATAAAAAAATTGATATTTGTGCAAATAAAGAATATAAGTGACGATCATAAAATGAATTACTCCATTGCTATTGCCCAGATAAAACTGAGTGTTTCTTGTCGATTACCCTCAAATCTACAGAAAGCAGAGCGTGATCACTAAAATGAGATGGTCTAGAAGATTCAATTTTATCTGAAGTGATGTTGGCAAACCCAGAAAAGTGAACACAAATACACCAGATTTGAGGCTATATAGTAAAAATCTGATTTCTAATATGTAAAACTGTGCTTTATTTAAGCGAAATGATGGCAAAGCGGATAAGACAGATTTACTGCCTTGCACTATAAGAAATTTTTTTGGAAACTGAGTACTAGCTAGGCAGATGGGTTCCAGGATCGCAATATATTCAACCGAAAATATAGTGGTACAGTGGTGATCTGATAAGTAAGCTTCTATATTAATATTTGAAAAGCAAAAATTGCTGCGTACAACATCGGTCTTCGATCAGTAAAGGTGAGTGAAAAATGTTTCCATGTTTGGTATTGACCAAGATCGAGTAGCGGTGACGTACTTCTACCGGAATAACTCATTGGTAAGAACTTAATTACTGGCCGACAACATTGAGAACCAAAAGGAGTTTTGAGTAAGCTACATACATCGCTTCTTAGAATGTTGAAGTGATTAATTTTGTCGACAAAAATTTTAAAGAAGGAAGGAGAGAAATCGAGTAATATAAGGTCGTAAATGAAAGGTAAAGCCGGATGACTCTCAAAAGATACAATTTTATTAAATGAAGAATTGGCCAGTGAACGAAATCTTTCTCGTCGAGGTATAACATTTCCCATCTGTTCCAAGATTTGTGTGTGGGTAGATTTCATGCCATCAAGAGCCAGACCAAACCATTTCCATTGAATTCTGCATAGTTTCAGGAGCAAACAGAGTGTTCTGATTTCGGCCTGACAGTTGAACCATATAAAAAGGGTCGGAGTGTGTGAGGTAAGTTAAAAACATTGTTTGGAAATCTTGTCCATGGAAGGAGCAGGAGAAAATTTCGAGTGTAGAACAAAGCCTAAAAAGTCGAACATTTGAACGAATGAAATAAAAGGACCAGATATGAGAAGTGAAGTAAGCGTGGAAAGGAATAACACTTACAATTTTGTTATATTTCGTCTCTGTAAGGGGGCCAACACAAAGATGCGTCATTTTACTTTTCGGACTAAAAAGTCCCAAGCGATAAATATAGTGCGAAGATGCTTAATCATATTATTCGATAAGAAAAAATAAAGACCTCTTTGTAGATGTAAGGAAAAACATATGGAATGACATGTAAAAATAAAGATATCAAAATAAATGTAAACAGTGAACATATAAAAGGGACTGGCATAAAAAGTCAATATAAAGGCTAATAAAATTGGTCGTTTGATTACTGAAATAAAGAAAGAAGAAAATGAGTTGAAAAGAAGAGAGCACGGGGTGAACTTTGTTAAACAAAGCGAATGAATATCTTGAACATTTTGATATGACATACATTGAAAGTAAATCGCTTTTATTGTTTGCTCGATCCTTATAAAATGTTAGATGCATTTCAAAGCATATTATATAAAAAAGTCTTAAATAAGTACAAAATAAACATAAATTAAAAAAATAATATCTAACTTTAAAGTAAATTGTGATCATTTATTTGTGTACTTTTTTTTTGTTTTTGCTTTGTTTTCTTACAAAACCATATGACATGCCAATTCCTACAGCACCTTATAAAAAGTTAAAAAAATTGAAATCCCATTCCAAAAGCCGTAATCCAGTTTTTTATCTAAGCTCGCTAGTTCGTATAAAATGTCTGCAAAGGAACACTATATATAAGAATTCCTAGTATCTTCTTTGAGTTAAGTGCTTTAGTTTTTATTATATGACAATATATTCTACTTCATTCCTTGACCATTTTCTATACCTATTATTAGACAATGAAAATAGACTTGGTTATTAAAAGTGTTCGCAACCAATTTGTGGTTACCAGCCTACTTGCATAACAGACGAATATTGACAGCACATAGCATTCAATTTCTTAGGCAAAACACAATAAAAGTTCGCTTATATTTTAATAAGTCAAAGCTGCAGTAATTGATATCGCCAATTAAAAACCACGTTTGCCTGCCTTAGTTTATGATTTTATAACAAAAGTTTGAAACAAATAGTCCCCTTGAAATTTATTAATGAAAAAGACAATCTAAAAAATTTTATGACGTCGTCGGGAACCCTTTATTATTATTAATTGTTCTGTTATTTGAAAGTCATTGTTTAATGTAATACTTCTTTATTAAAACATTTGAGAAATATAATTCAAATTAAAAATTAATTGGCTTTATTGTCCTATAATTTTTTGAAAAATCATGCATAGTATAAACTGAAATCGCAAAGGCAACATGATGTAAAAAAGATTTAAAATAATGCAATATGTAATATAAAATTAAATAAGTAGCTTTTAAATTTGAAATAAGCTTTTTCCCACATAAGCTCGTTAAATTTTGTCCAATTTTTCGATATGCATTGCTTTGCTCTTATTCAATTTTTCTCCCAGGCCTGAAAACAGAGCGAATCACAATGCTGCTAACAGCCAAAGGATGTATTATGTGATAAAAATTTAACATAGAAAAAGAAAAGTAGTAAAAATAAACTTTGGATATATATGCACATATAGAATAGTAGAAGGAATAATATCAAATAGGTTCGAAATAAATATTACTAAGATCACTGAGAAAGTTAGCATAGGTTTTGATGAAAACGTATTAACTTTGATGAGAACATAATTAAGCAAAATAGAAGAATTTATAATCTCAGAGTTTACGAAAGGAAGTTTAATAACTAATAATTTTAGTAAAATTTAAAAAAATTAAGTAGTAATAGTAAATTTTAAGAAAGAAGATAAATTTGCAATTTACTGGAGATATAGCTCTCAAAATTATAAGCCTCCAGAGACAACTTTTTAATTTTTTTTTGTGAGAATTTTAGCGTCGACACGTCAATCAGAAGATCTAGAAAAAAAAAAAAGAGCCGAGGACCTGATGCCAATTCTGAAAACTAAAGGAAATTTTAAGATTGTGTACGTAAATATAATTCAAATTCATAAAGCAAAATTCATATTAAAACAGTCGAAAAAATCCAAAGAGCTAATGAACACAAAAAATGTGTATAAGTGTTATGAAAAAATAAACATAAATTAGTATAGTATTAATAGTTTGATATAAGTTTGCATATATTTATGAAATATTTCAGAGAGATATATATACAGAGAGAATGAAATACTTAAAAGTTAGTGCGAGTTTGCTTTGAAAAACGATATGTTACCGAAAACAGGGATGCTATTTAGACTTTCTCTTAATGGGTATATAAATACCCTACAAAAAATTGTAGGTTGTAAACTGTAAAATATGACCAAATCGCCTATGGCTTATGTTTTGTATTTACTTGCAAAGTTTGGAACTAGCATTTATTATTCACAATCTTTAGGGTTTTGTATCTAGACGACAGAGAAAATCTAATTACGCTAACACTTTAAGACTTTATTCTTTAAAAATGCAAAGGACTTTTGGTGTGGATCTTACAGACTTCTTAAAGAGCGCAACAATGGAAAGAAACAAAATCGAAAATTACAGCCCTACAAAAAGATTGAAAAGAAAAATGATATAAAAAAGGAAAACATAGACAAAGTGGTTTTTTAGATGATTCCCGTTTTCCTTATTAATAATCATATCTGTGAAAATGACGTAACGAATTCCTAAATTCTACAACTAAAATGCTTAGGCGTAATATACATAAAACGGAACACACAGTTCGTATGGAAAACTGTTTCAACTGGAGTTCTCTGAATCTAATTATGTGTTCTTTTAGAATTTGGAGGGTCAATATCAATATAAACAAGTAAGAGAGTTATTTTCGGCGAGGGCTGAATCTCGCATACCACTGTGCTTTTCGCAATCTACTCTTTAGTTCTTTTATTTGACACCCAAATCGCTGGTTATATAACGAAAAAATGAGTTACGGGGCCTACCATATTCATTTTACAATTAACTTATTTTTGGGCAGTTAATATACCTTGCGTTATGATAAATGGACATAAAACTGCAAAAAAGTGAGAAAAAGAATATTTAATCAATTGTAACTTTGTGTGAGCACGACCGATTTTTTCCATTTTTGCATGTAGAGTAACGTGTTTCATAAAGTAAATGTGGAAATTTTCAGCCTCATAACTTTTATAGTTGCTCAGTAACGAGCAAAAACCCACGAATTTTGATTAACTTGCGTTCAGTTTATGCTCCGCTACGAGCTTCTGCTATGACTAATTTGGCCCCTTTTCAATACCAACCTGCTTGAAAAAAACCTTCAATCTTTCTACCAAATTTGAAATCGATATCCTCATTTTTGCGACCAGGAGAGTGCCAACAACGAAAACCGCACAGACGGACAGACATGTTTTAATTAGCCCAGAATTTCATGCTGATCAAGACTATACCTACTTTATAGAGTCTCTGGAGCTTTCCTTTGGGAGTAGCATACATAAAGAAAAAACAAAATGAGTATACTCCCATTCTGCAGGAATGGGTATGAAAAAAGTCATATATTCATATCTTCAACTTTTCATTCTTTAGTACACTTTGAAGCAAAAAGATCGTGGTATGTTTTATATAAATATTTCAAAGCTATTTTTTTGCATGGAGCCGTTCCATTTTTGGCTTGAAATTTGCTGAAATTATCTCCAAGAATATATTTGGAAAGAACATGATTAATTGTATCAATAAAGCCTGAGTAGGCTTAATCATTTAGGCGACGGAGTTCAAATCATTGTGTATGACTATAAACTGAATGAATAAAAAGAATATATTTAGACTTTGACGATATGTGAAGGCTCAATACTTATTGCAAAACTTTAATATTTGCCCTAGGTTGCAATGAGGTAATCTTATCCCCAATACAAAATAACACAAAAACTTACGACGGGCATCATTGTATGCGCAAAAAGCAGAAAAAGAAAGTAAAAACGAGCAGAATAAACGGAAAACTGGAAAAGGATTTTTGTACGTGTTTTCGAGAAATAATTTAATAGCAGCAATTTGCGTAAATTATTTTTAACCGAATTCACGTTTGTTATTAATTACAGCGCAATTAAAAATTTTAAATGTCTTAAATTGATGACAAAATTTCGCAGCGTGTCTTGATTTAACACGTATTAATGTAGTAAATTTACCCGGCAGTTCTTAAGGAAAAAAGGGAAATATATCGGTGAAACTACTAGCAAATCATTAACGATATAAATTTGTAGTCAACGCGATAGAAGAAGCATAAAATTCCCGTGCAGTCATCATCGCATCGTACTATATACGCAACGAAGAAAACGAAAGCGAAGGCCGATAGCTAAAGAAAAAAAAAAGAAGGGACAGGGACGGAAAGAACTTAATTGAAATTTCAACAAATTCTAAATACTTATTTCTAAAGTTTAAGTTTGTCAAGTGAAAGGAAATCATGGCCAATTTAACAGAGGCCCAGAAAAAAGCCAAGTTAATTATTGACCCACCATCTGAATTGCGCTTCCGTGGTAAGTATTTTAAGTCATCCCTCATGGTCACGTCTGTTACAAAAAAAAGAAAGAATATATATATGCGTATATTATGTATGTATGTATATAAAAGTGAAAAAATGCACGTAAATAAGGAAACGCCATCGAAAGGAAATATTCTTTACATTCAGCACAGCAGAAAAATTAGAGAAAACATAGCTTGAACTTTACGTATCTTAAGTTCTGTTTATAAGTGTGGCCTGTTACAATCAATTAAATACTAAACACTTTAACGTTTCTATTAGAACAAAAGGGCGTTCTTCATACATATATATATATATGTATACATATATATACATATATATATATCATATCACATCATATCTATCACAGAAAGATGGAAATATCTTAATGCTATTGCATAAAAAAAAAGCACCAAAGGCCAAATAAAGAATATGAATGATTTATCAACGAAGTCCGTATGTCGATTGTTTGTATTCGCAAAGTCGCTAAAATTAAGATAATTTATTTCCTTAAATATTAAATGGGCGTGCTTCATTTTCAATACCTGAACTCAAAAAAAAAATCTTTACAAATGTTTATTATGATCATTTATATATTCTTTGTGCGATAGGAAGATTTTTTTTTGTTGAAATTTTTCAAAGTTTGACTTCAATTCATTAATTGAAGTTCATTGTCTTGGGATATCCATTGGTAGCCCAATTTGGTCCAAAACAAGTATACGCAAGATTTTCTATGTGAAAAATTCAAATAGTTGCGATATTTTCGTAAAGTTACAGTCGTATACCAACAATGAAATAAATCTTGAAAAAAAAAGTAGTTTACAATACATTCATTACTATAAGGCTAATGACTTTTCGTCTCTGATAAGCCAGCTAATGCTAAATACAACAATATCGACATCTTTAATAATCGATTTAAAGGTTTCTTATTTATACTTGTGGTGTTGAAAATTATTTTTATATATTATTTTTTTAATGATATTCTTACGTTTAGTCATTCGAATATGAGAGAATATGTGGCAATAAATTTTTTTAATATTAACTAAAGAGAATAAGTGAGGCTTCTTTGGGCGAGGCGAAGAAAGTAATTAACCATGACATAAAAGGAATAATTTGTCACATTATCAGTCTTTTTAATATTCCCAGGAATAGCACTCTCATAAACATTAACCTATTAACTAAAAAATATTGCAAGCATACTTTGCGAAAAATTTTTCATCAATGATTTCAAACTATTTTATTACATCATTTTGAGAACTTTAAAAAATTGCGCCTAATTAATAATTCATTTTCGACTTTGTGATAAGATCGGCACATTAGTTTACGGATAGAAGAGGATAAGAGAGAAGGTAAACTGTAACATTTGGATTACACGTTTATGAATGATTTTTTTAAAATTATCAGTGAATTGATAAAAAAAACTTTGATTCAATTTGCTTGGTTGGTTCAATAAACTAACAGTGCTTGGAAAATTAACAAATAGTTACGTCACGTATGAGGATATAGTGCACACTGCAAACGATGGTATAAAAGAGTTTGTTTCGGCAATCGCAATTCAATAAAGATTGGCTTTGTCTTGGGCAGCAGTGGTGCTGAAAGAAGACGTGACAAGAAATTTTGACAGCTTCCCCGCCGATGATGTCATTCAATCATTTATTGACGCGCATACGTCATCGGAAAGTTAGTGGAAAATCAATGAAACGGTTCCAGAGAGTAAAAGTTTTTCTCTTAACATCAAGATGGTGAAAGAAAAAACACCACATTAAGGAACCTCTGCACGTGCAGGAAATTTTTTCATCTTCTAGGCAAGATATGGAAGATTTACTCACAATAGAGCCACACTAATCTAAAAACTATATATATCTTCAGGACGAAAGGCGCAATAAAGTATGCTACAAAAATTTGCAGCAAAAAAACGAAAAAGGCAACGTTGCTGCGAGTCTATTTAATTGGTTTCTAAATCTACGAAAATCATTTAGATAAAAAAAATAATCTGTTTTTAAGAGAAAATCAGGAGTTTGCTACATTTGCTTTTTCCGTGACACGTAGAGGAAGCCTTAGAAAAAGAAGCCAGAATCTGCCAGAAATGCGAAGAAGTGGAAAATAAAACAAAACATATTTTTTATATTAGAAAAGTATACAAATACGTTTAGTTTTTTTTTGGAACAAGAATTAGTTTTTTGGGATAGAAATCTGCTGGCTCAAAGCATTCTTAAGTTACTTCTAAATGCAAATTAAATCATTTATAAACGTTCTGAAACGCTTTATAAAATTGATGTACACATGTTCAGAACTGCAACTTAATATAAAATAGAAGCAAATGTCAGACTTTTCTTCTGCTCGGTCGATACTTTAAAATTATGAAGGAAAGAAAATTTTAAATTACAGTTTGTTGATAACGTATCGCTTCGTAGAACATAAATGCTCTAAGTATAAGTATAGGTGTGTATTTGAAGTCGAAAATGTTATCTTTGCTTTGTTTAAATTCATTCATTACCATTAAATTGGAGCTTATTTAAATTCCGTGCGTACGCTGCACTATAGTTACTGTTGCCATGTGTAAATTACCCGCCTGTCTGTTCATTAGTGTTTATATTTATCCCAATACTATATTTTGATATTATTTGAAACCGAGCCAAAAGAAAAATTTGTAAAAGTTTGGTCATTTAAAAAAATTTATTATCTAATGTTTTTTATATGAAATGCTAAGTAAATCTCTTTTACGAAAACGTAATATTCGCTTCTCAAGGATGGATTTATACCAATTTTATTATTTAAAAGTCACGCATATCGAGATATAAATATATATATATATGTATTTATATGTATATATGGCTTCTTTTTCCGCCTGTGCATTCTTATCATTGTCTTTCATTTATGCCCACAACTGAAGAATGTGAGATAAGTTTACAATCATCCAAAATAACTATCTAAGATAATGTTAACTATATTCAGTTTTTTGGGTTATTGATGCGCTCAAAATTAATAAAACATTGTGGTAAATTTCCAATACTCGCTCTAAAACGTTTCTTATTTGTTATACTTTATCTTGTATTTTCGCTCGACCAGGGGCTTCTGCGATAAATTGATTTTGTTTGTATATGTTTGTTTAAAACATGTTCCATTTGTTTGTTTATCAACAACATTTAGAATTTTACAATTATCTAAATAATAAATAGTATAATAATATAACACTATAACAGTATAAAATGATAATAAATAATAAAACAAATACATATATATAAGTCCTAAAACTTAACCTAAACAATCATTGAATGAATGTTCAATGTGTAATCAAAGTATATAAAATAAATATGTATATAAAAGAAATTTGCATATATGTAGAAAGAAATTTGATTGCACCTTGAACATCCGTTCAACCATTGTTTAGGTTAAGTTCTAAGACTTACCAATGTATACTTACGATGTGTTTTTGTACTTTCACAATATACGTACCTACACTGTGCTAGATAAAAAGTTTCGGGAATTAGTTCAATAAATAATCGGCTTCGGTATATTGATAATTAAATATAAAACTGCTACCGAGTAAAAGAAATAGCTGCTGTATACAAACTTGTTGTGGCATAGCGCTAAAGTTAAGCAACGGGCCCCAATTTAGACTATAAAAACTATAAACAAAAAAAAATGTATTTGAGCGAATATTTATTGCCCACTTTTCTTTCGACTAATTCCTGGTACTTTTTTCTTCAATAGAAAGATATAATACTTAGTTGTGTTATATATACGATTATGACATTAAAGTTGTCAATAATTAAGGGTTAAAGTTATTCTTTCTTGTTCTTATTTTGTTCTTGTTTTTATTTTGAGATGTTCTAGTTTTAATTTTATTACTTGCATACGGCTTAGAAGGTTTTAAGTTTATGCATAGGAAGTAAAAAAAAAAATCAATAAATTATCTAAAATTTTATTATGAAATTTAATATTTAGGTGAGAAACCTTAAAAGGACTGTAGATAGGTGGTGAAAACCGTATGAAAAATTTCTTAAACGGCGATTTTATAACATTAGAGAACAAGACATATATTTATTTCGTTTAGCCATTTATTTTGTTAGAATAAAAATTATTTAGTAGCAAAAGACATTTATGGTCATTTATGCAATAATTAAGCTGCTAAAAGCTACATACGTTTTAGCCATGTTTTTAAACTATATTATATGCATGCTATTTTTTTTTTAAGTTTTATTTGTTTTGTTTGTATTTTATTGTTTTGGGTTTTTCCAACAATTCTTAATTTCCATTAAATTTCCATCAGCCTTAATCGTTTATTGTAATTTTGCCCACCACAGAAGGAAAGACTCAGAGACGCCGTAAAGCATCGAATTCTAAACCGATTTAAGCATGTACGTCTGTCTGTCTGTCTGCATCAAACGGTCTTCCGGTCGCAAAAATTCAGCGATTGGCTTTGGGCAAAAAGATGGGAAGCTTTTGCAAGTGAGTTGGTATTGAAATTTAGTCAAATCGGTCAAAGGATACAACCGCAAGACAACATAACCCAAGATCATTTCTATTTTCAAAAATAAGAAAAATTAGATTCTTTACACGTTGCTTATAAACCACAACAGATGCAACGGTAAAAATTTGTATTTACATTCTACGACCGGCCCTGCAGCATTTGCATAAAAATAGAAAAAACGGCCAAGCCTATCCAACATCGTAGGATTTCGAAATTTTATTCTTTTCACTATTTTTGTCTTTTTATCATTGCAGGATCTAGGTAGAAGCTTTAGACACCGTATAAAGTCTACATATTATTGATTAGTATCAAATCTGAATCGTTCTAGAAATACTTGTCTATCCGTCTGTCTGTTAATTACTATGGTAAACTTAAAAACTTTTAATATATCAATCAAATCGGTCTTATATTGTATTACGGATGAGCCCTGTTACCGAATGAATACATTCAGACTTTCTAGATTTTTGGCTCCTAAACTACAACAGGCACACTATGTAAATTTGCAGTTTTACTCTACAAAAACAGAAGAAATCAGTCATGCGCCAATTTATGGAAAATTAGCTGTTTTCTTCTTTTTAGGATAACGCTGATGGGTATAAAGGATTCCTTTGCGGTCGAATGTAATTTTCTTACTTTTATTTATTTATTTTTTTTTGGTTTTGTAAATTTCTTTTGCCACTTTGGCACTTTAATCTGCCAGAAGTCTTAGAAGCCTTGTTTTAATATTATACTTTCATGCACAAATCTAGCCGTGACTTTAAACGTGCGTTTGAAAAACTCATTCACTTGCTTTGGAAATGCATCAAACAGCGTAGTGTTGATACTTGACCTGAGCAGTATCATCGTGTGCACAAGTTTTACTACATGAGTGATGTTCTTTGTCTAGATGACAAAATATGTATTGTTCTCCTTTTAGAAGAATATCTTTACTGAAAAACTTGGCCTACTTTAGTGTACGTTTGCTATCTGCTAAACCCTACCCACTCTCCTGACCTAAATATAAAAATTTTATATATATGTTAAGGATTGTATAAGATATTGGAACAACTAATCCGTCATATTATATATAAGAATATAACTTTTATTATTTATTTTTAATATAATTGAGTTTTTAATTTTTAGGCCCATTTAATCAACCAGTAACCACTAATTTAAAACTTACAAATCCATCGGATGAGGTCATCTTGTTTAAAATAAAAACAACTGCTCCAAAGCGTTATTGTGTACGTCCGAATTACGGTGAAGTGCCTTCACGTGGAACGGTTACTGTTGAAAGTAAACAAAATCATTTGTTTTCCCAAATATTCAAGAGGGTATATATATATAAAATCAATTTTAGTTTCCCTACAGCCAACCAACTACTTTGACCCTTACGAGAGATGCAAACATAAATTTATGATTCAGAGTATTGTTGCTCCAGATGTAGAAGAAGATTTCGGCAAGGGTGTGAATATTGTAAGTAAATGAAATTTTATAAAAAATTCAAGATAGAAAGGAAAAATATCGTTTGTACATTTATTTAACAAAATAGTGGAAGGAATTGCCAGCTGATCGTTTTATGGATGCGAAATTGAAATGTGTTTTCGAATTGCCAGGAGAAAATGAAGATACAACTAATGTTAAACTGATTAAAACAGAAACGATTGCTCCACCAAAACCTAAAGCTGAGGAAAAGGTAAATTAGTTTAGTCTTATTCTAATGTGACATTGTTTATATGTTTGCGGTTTTCTCAAATTAAAGATTTCGAATGTGGAAATATCAGACCATTCTGAGACACTGGCAAATGAAATGAGACAATTGCGCGAGGAGAACACCAACTTAAGAAAAGAGGTTTTAAATTTAAAGGTAAAAACAGTGTGGACGGTAATATAAATTAATTTTTGTACCCACCACCCGACGATGGTCATATATAGGAAACATGGTATTTCGAAAGTCAGACATGATTCAGATATTTAAAAGTTAGCAAACAATTCAAACGATATCCTAACAACTGTAGCCACTGTAGGTAGGATGGCATTAGGTATGGAACGTCCTTTTCCATTTACGGAACTATATATATATTTTTTTTAATACTCGTGTCATAAATTACCTTATATTAACCATTATATTAAAGAAGATGGGACATGGATTCTTATCTGTAATAATTGGGGATTATTGAGTCCGTAGACAATTACGGCGAGGACAACTCTATTAAGGTAATGCGTAAAGAATAAAAAACGTCAATTATAAGATTGCATATTGATCGATTGATATGTCTGAGGTATTAAAAGTATACGTTCTTGTATCAAATTTACTAAAAGAAAACTGTACGGTACACGACCATGGTTTTCATTTAAAAATTTGTACGACGTCGCAATCACATTTATATATATGTTATAGTGAACGCAAACTGATGGCGAGAGTATATTTGTTTTGCTACGTTTGATTTCACTGAGTCTACAACTGAAGCTGTTATTGTTGTTTTAGGTATCTTAACGCGTTGTATGTTCAAAATAAATGATTAATCGAGTTTACGCTCATGCTTGAAATTGCAAACCTCTGCACCTGCATAAAATTCGCAAACTTAAAATATCAATCAATTAGAATTTCCAATGTAACATATGTCAATTATCTAGTTTAGAAGAACAAAATCAAGTAAGCAGGTGAACGTGTAATTTTACCACGAATATTCATAGTCACTAGTCATTAACTCCGTAGCTTTTTCATATAGCCACAGCTCATAAGGACATTCCCTAAAGTGTTATTCATTGTGAGTGATACTCACTAAAATTGTCCATCTTTTAAGCGTACTAACATTAATCCGACTAAAACATTCGTTTTAGTTTTAAACACTACCATATCATCCTGTATGGAACAACAATTTGCTTGCGATGAGCATGTATACTATCATCCGACTATATATTTTTTTAAGGATTTCTAAAGATGAAACATTTTTAGTTCGTCTACTACGCGATAATTTTCTTAATAATTGAGAATTATTTTCTGGATATCTGGGATGATGAAGATCAACGTGTGGCATGCATTCTCTCTATTTAAGTAATGGTTCATGCCCATTGTTGCAGTCTTCGTATTCATTCTCTGTACATCTCTGGGTAATCCCGGGATTTGCAAATCGCCTTCATTTTTTTTCCGGTTATTACGAATGGATGTGACTACGCTGTTTATAATAGTCATAACTTGCGTTTATTGTACTAAACAGACGACAGTCGATCTTCCCTTCTATAAATTTTTAAAATTATGGGAGATTTCGGTGATGGGTATCAGAAAGTTTGGAAAATATCGGATATAATTTCTGCTTTAATTGTTATTATTTCATATTAAAATTGTTCTTTTTTAATCTATTTCTATTAGGAGCAAATATTGCGAGTTAGAACCTCACCAACGAAGGCCCCCATGGGAGAGCCCTATACACCGGTCATTGTCGAAAAGCAAATACCCATGTTTTACATAGCGATTGCAATCGCCGCTGCCATCTTTGGCATTATATTGGGAAAATTTTTATTCTGAACTTCTCGTTATTAAATGTTGTTTATAGCAAAAGAAAAAAAGGGCAGCTCGTTTAACCATGATGCGACTAAGCAAATTTCCGACTGCACGCTTTATACACATTTAACTAATGAGAAACTATTGGAAAAAAAGGAAAAAAAACGAAAACTCAGAATAAAATGAAAAAACAATATTTCAAAGAAAAATCCCAGAAAAATTAAAAACAAATTAAGCAGCAGCAAATATTTAAAAGAAAAGAAAATCATAACCTATGAATTATTTCAAAAATAGTAATGAACGAGCAGAATATATGAATTGCATGATTTCTGAAAGTAAGACATATATATTAATATATGTTTTTCATTTATATTTATATGTATATATATGTATATATATATATATATATATATATAGTGTATATATATATATATATATAGTTATTATATATATATTTATATATATGTGTGTGTAGATATATACATATATATATATATATATATATATCGTAAACAAGTCTTTTTTCAAAAATGTACATTCATGAAAATTAGGAAAATTCTTAAACAATTTCAACGTAATTTTATTATCGTATAAAAGGAAACTAAGTATAATAAAATACAACCGATAAGTTGTTTATTTCCCTTAGCTCTCTTCAAAATTTTATTCACACTCATGAATTTATAAAATATTTTTATTAAACCTTTTCTTTTTTGTATTCGCTTATTATATTCTGTTTCCTTATATTAAGTTGCATTTAGATCGTTATGTATTATCAAACTGAGCTTAAAGAGACACTCATAAAGAACTAGAATCCCTATTTAAAATTTTATAGTACCACATACATATTTACTGAAATCGTCGCTTTACTTTGTAATATTTTTTTGCTTTTTTTTTATTGATTTTTTTAAGTAATTTTAAGGTTTCCAAGGGTGGGTTTGAAAATTATAAAATATTTGTATTAAAAAACTTTCTTATTTCATATTCCTTCGTCTTTTCGTTTTTTAAATGCAAAATACAAATTAATTTTTTTTATATAAAAAGCTGCTGGATTTTTAGAAAATGTATACTAAAAAGAGAAAAATATAAAAAGCAAAGATTTGTTTTTTATATTTAACATAATTAAAAGTTTTCTTTGAAAAAATAACACGGAATAACAAATTAAATATACATATATTCAAATATGATTTTTAAAATGATATACAAGTATGATTTTTTTTTAGTTTATAACTAAACTTTTACGAATGCAAAGGTCTCTGAATAATTTATACAAAAACTGGAAAACAGGTATTTGTTACTTTAATTTGGGCAAAAATTCCGCAAAAAGGAGAGAAATACTTTTGACACCTAAACAAATGCTTAAAAACAAGCTATCAATCTATATGTCGTTGGAAAGAAAAAGGGAGAGAGAGATAGAAAGGGGCAAAAAACGACAAAAAACTATCTACCATCTTCTCGTGATTCAATTTAGTTGAAAAAGTCGAAAGTTTTGTAGATTACTGTCGATGCGTATGAAAAGCAATTATAATTTCATCTTAGTTTTACTTACTTTTTGGTCAAAAATTGTGAACTACGGTAATCAAGGAAATCACTATTGTTTTTTTATTTGAAAAAAGAAACGTTCAAGTATTTACTTTCATAATTGGCTGACAGCAACGTAACGCAACATATACGCTAGTGACGTATATCCAGTAACTGCAGTAATATTAAGAAAATAAAATATAATTTGATTACAAAACAGGAGAAGAACAACAAAAACAATATATATTTAATGATTAATGTCTATAAATAGCATCATAAAAGAATATTTGATGAGTTTAATGAATAATAAATGGAAAATAATTTCAAATCTTGATTTCTCTTTGTCTCTGCCTTTTTTTTATATGGAATAATTTTAAAACATAATTTCATTTATAAGGAAACGGAATAAATTTGGAGGATTATAAAGATTTCATTCACAAAATTTTTATTCATTACGTTTGTAAGAGGTTGAAAATAATTAGCAATTTTTTGCATTTATCGATTTGTGTTAATATCTATTTTCCTGCAGACTGATGTGAATTCACTATGTTTCTTAAGCGATTTTTCTTTACTCGTAATTTCGTTTTCATCAAATTCAATCGTTGAAAAATATGCTTCACTTCGTTACGTTTAGCGCTTTAAGAAAATGAACAATCCGAGAACTCTTTGCAATCAGCTGACCGAACTATTTAAAAAAAATAATCGATTTTTTTTTCATTCAATACATTTGACTAAATTTAAATAAAATAAATATTTCACTAAATTAAAAATGAGTTAGAGTAATCGAAAAATAAATTAAAATCAATTAAAACAAAAAAAAAAAAAAAAACAATGCTGAAATGTGGAAATGCTGTAAACCTCTAGGGAAGAATAATAAGCGGAGGGAAGGGTTTATGCAAAGTAATAGGCACATCTATTTAAAGAAAAGTATTTTATTACAGCAAATATCAAATAGTTAATACAAAATATTATTGTTAGTTTTATTTATTCTCTTTTCACCCAACGAACTCTGATATATGAATACGAATTTTTGTTTATACACGCGTATTTGTATATATTTAAAAGTGTGTGTATAACAACAACAAGTGGTCGACATTAACATTATTTATCTATATAAATACGAATTACAAATATAGTAGAATTTAAGAGAATTTGTGTAATATCGTCTCTTGTATTATTGAAAGTGATAAATAAAGTAAGTAAATTTGAAAAAAATGTCTTGCAAATCTACTTTGGAAGAATGCATTCCATTGCCCATACCTGAAGAGGAGTTAATTGATTTAACTGTCAAAGCCAAAGACTGGGCTATTATGCACGGAGCAGCTATGCGTTCTAAAACAAACTTCAGTCCGGATTCATTAAATGCAAGTCTTATGCATATTATAATTTTTATTTTAATTGATTTTTTGTTTATTACTTTTTATGCAGTTTGCTCCATTTCTATTAACACCGTCTTCTTTTCCACGTAAGGAATATGAGAAAGCTGTGGAATTACAACCAATTATAAATCGTTTGATGCACAATGTGGCCCATGATGAAGAATTTCTGACCACCACTTTAGCAGAAACAATTAAAGTAGATGAATTTACTGGCAATCTATTTAATATCTATAAAAAAGTTTTATCTAATGGTTTCGGACAGGTATGTAAATTGTTACTATATGATATATTGACGTGTTGACGCACTTGATACTTATTACATAATGCTTTTACTAATATTCCTCTTCATACTCCTAATTCATAACTTGAGTTTAAACATGAACATCTCAGAAAAATCAATGTTAGAAATTGCTCTTAAGTTTTATTAGCTAAATTTTATAGATATAGCATATATATAACGAAAAAAATCTTAAACCCACACGTATATATTTATATACGCATGTGTGAAAAGGTAGAACATAAACAACATCTTAAGCTGTACATTCAATTTGAAAATTGATGCGTTAGATGAAGTAATTTGCATATCACAAATTATATTCGTTACGTTATGTAAGCACATTTTCTGATCAGCAATCAGAGATTCTATCTTATATCTTGAAAGTAGCATATGGATCTTAGCTTAGAAAATTTAAGGATTTATAGGAATAAAATGTTTTTATTATGACCAGACAATTAAGAAATCCAAGGGCGAAATTTTGATACTTCGTGTCTGAAACCAATACATAACAAATGCAAAAAATGTTTCTAAGCTCCGTCGGGGCCAGTTAATCGATCGGCAGCGTTTTTAGCTAATGTGTATTACTTGGTTCTCGGTTATTAGTAAGTTACAGTTTTCCCCTTAGTACCACGTTAATTTTCAAATAAGACCGAGAGTTGCAACAAACGCCAATGCCTCTACCGACGGTACGGAAAGACGAGGTGATTTAAACCGGATAAAAAATTGATGAAGAATGCATATGCCTCTTGAAGTTTCTCAAGTATATTTCTTGGGAAAATAATGAAATGCTAAATCAACCTTAGCATGTTCTTCAGTAATGCTCAAAAGAAAATTTTTTTGATTTCATTAGATCTCTCCCATATTATACAAAAATGAAGCGTAGCTAGTATCTCGAATAATAAGAAGATACATCTACACGAATTGTACTTTGCCTCATTGCATTCGCTTATTGGTTTCAATGCAGTTTTTTTTTTTAAATCGTTTGGAAAAATTACTCTACTTAAGTCTTTTCGTCTAATACAGTCTATTATATTAATTTTTTGCATTTTTCTTTTTCATTTTCCACAACCCATCTTTTCATTATAATCTTTAAGTATTTTATTGATTTCGTTTAATTACATTTTTGCTTTTGATGCTTTTTTTCGGTTGTGCTGATATTCTAATAAAAAAAATTAAATAAAAAAATGAAATACAAATTAAAAAACATTCATATTGCAATGCATGAAATCCATTAAAGCGCATCTCCTTGGGCATATTGCGAAGTGATTTGATGTTGGAATCAAGATGTAAAAGTTTAGTTACTTCGAAAGGAAACAATGAAAATGAAAAACCCTGTGCCTTCTGTTGCTGGAAACAAGTTGAAATTAATACAATAGCATCTGGTTTTGGCCATTTAGGACCAGTCAGCAGAGCCATACAAAGGTGCCGTAATAAATTAAAAATTAACATTATTTTTCATGCTTTTCCTTTTATGTAAACTTAAACAGTAATTCAAAAGTTTTGCCCTTTTTTGCTTTTTTATATATATTTTTTTATTTTGAGAAATGCTTGTAGTTAATGGCTTGTAGGATTGCTAAATGAACCGAATTGAATTGAAATTGCATTGTTGTTTGGTTATTGGTGGTTTTTAAGGGAAACGAATGCATTCACAGGCACGAATAGGTACAAATTACACACATATGTGTATGTATATATATATACATATATTTCGTTATTATTATTACTATTATTTTTTTTTTTTTTTATATACATAAAATTTCTGATATTCGGTTAATCAAAACGTGCGTTTTCGGGGCGAACAGTTTGGCCAGGTATAAATCTTAGTCTCTTAATAAGAGACATACTCAATTCAGTTTCAATGTGTCGATCAGTAACATGAGAACCGTGAGCCTTTCTTTTCATACCAAATTCAAGTTACTTCCCTGTGCACCTGTATTAGTTTAACTCATATTCATCCGCTTTCTTCCGTTATTTTTTAAAACAATTTTGTAGTATTTTTCCTTTTATATTTTGCTATATACACTTACACGAAACAAGAAATACATGTAAATACATATAATATGAACGCTTTACGCGTTTATTATCATTTTCTATTCTATATATACAATTTCAGGCCATTTCCTTGGGTATATTACGTTCCGACTATTTGGCTCACACCTGTGCCGACAATGCCATAAAACAAGTTGAAATCAACACCATTGCTTCTAGTTTTGGTGGCATATCCATACATTTGTTGCCTCTCCAGAGGTATTACTACAAATTAAATATTCTCTTTAATATTATACATAATATACATACAACACTTTGTAGTAATGCTCTTCTTGGAACTACTGTTTGTAAAGCGTAAACTTGAGTAATAATTCTAAAATGAATAAAAAAGTAAAAAATGACTAGATTATCGTCTTTTCAAGATCAAGCGTGTGTACCTCTAACAAGTGTGTCTATTAATTATATAATTATAATCTTTTCTTCTTTTTTTTATGCTCGTTGCGTTTACGTGTGCTTTGGTTTATTTGATTTGATTCTGTAGTTAATATATATGAGAATGTGTAATTGTTTAATTTTCATATATGTTCACTATTATTTAAAATTAAAAATGATTCAGTTATACTTAATTGCAGTTTCGTGTTACGTGAGCTGAACCATCCTGAGAAGTTACTAAGTGTGAGTATGTTTTCTTTTTTTTTTTTTTTTACTAAATTTTTCTTAAATTGTTGATTGCTACTAACATGTAAAATAATTATTTAGATGCCTGAAAATCGCGCTTTATCTGGTATATGTGACGGTATGATAAGAGCGTGGCAAATTTATAATAATCCTTGTGCGATTATTCTTTTTCTCATTGAAGATATCTCGTATAATATATGTGACCAGGTAAATATTTATTTTATATAATCTTTTCTACTTTTAGATAATAATGGTAACCATTCTACATATGTGAGGTTGACTTACACTAAGAAATTATAGCCTTGCTACCCTCATAGATGAAGTTATCTTCAATAGTGTTGGTATACAAACAAGTCTTATCGATCAATTTTTTTTATTTTTTTTTAAGAAATTGCGTATAAAACTTTACCGAACAGCTCACTAATGAACGATTAGAAGATCAGAAAAAGAGCAAAGTGAAATTCGAATTTATTCTTTTATATTTGAACGTGCTTACAGCAAAATTAAATATCGAATGTTAGACCTAAATTCTAATTTTCGCAATTGCATACAAACTGACTATTCATCAAGTAGATTATGGTATAAATAATATTAAAGTTGATGAGGATCAACGGTATAAATAGCTTGCGGAGACTCGATTTAATTTAATACAATCCTACACTGATAAGGATTCATGGAACAATTTTATGAAATTGCCCTCCAAAATATATTATTTACTCAAATAAGAAATGATAGTAATATAATAAAATAACATTCATTTGTCCATTTTAATGAAATGCCATTTTGTTGACAATCATTTTTAGAGTAATTTGATTATTTTTTTGATATTTTTTTTACATTGCTTAGCGATTCCATGAATTTTACATACGCGAGATGTGTCCACATATTAAAATTTTGCGTCGAACTCTAACCGAAGTCTATAAATATGGTAAATTGGGTCTAAATAAAGAACTTTTGTTGTAAGTGAAATCTGAATGTAAATAAATTTCTAATATATTTTACAATTGATAAAATACATATAGGGGTGATTGTGAAGTGAGCGTTATATACTTTCGAGCTGGCTATGAACCGGGTCATTATCATTCTCATAATGAATGGGATGCTCGTTATATGATGGAATGTTCGACAGCGATTAAATGCCCATCAATTCATTATCACTTGGCTGGGACAAAAAAAGTACAACAAGCTTTGGCAGAGCCCGGGATGTTGGAAAGATTTATAAACGATCCAGAAGAAATCAAGGCGGTGGGTAAAATATTTACGGGCCTATATTCATTAGAGGATAATGAAGTTGGAAATGCTACGTATGAGATGGCATTGAAGGAACCCGAACGTTTCGTTTTAAAGCCACAGCGTGAAGGTGGAGGTAACAATGTTTACGGTCTCGACATTCCAGATGCTTTAAGGGTAAGCTAATTACAAGTTGCAGAATTAGTCATCACTTAAGATTGTATTATATTAGAAAATGACCAGAGTGGAGCGTTCAGCTTGGATTTTAATGGATCTAATAAAACCTCCCATTTCCAGAGGATATATGATACGACCGGGGGGTCACATGCCTCCCCCGATTGTCGATGTAGTCTCCGAGTTGGGCATTTTCGGGGTGATCATCGGTGACGTCGACAACATTATATGCAATTACCAATCCGGCCACATGTTACGTACAAAATTATCTACTGCCAATGAAGGCGGCGTAGCGGCAGGTCTTGGCGCCCTCGACAGCCCTTATTTAGTTGATTGAGAGAAGTCTTGATTTTTAAATGAAAGTTATCTTTTGTTGGAAATCTCTTTTAAATCAATTTTTGTATCATCTTCTATTCTATTTCGACGTCTCGAACAATTAAGAGCGCCTTCGTCAAGCAAAATAAATTATTAAGAAACCATTCGTTTTCGTTGGTTTAGTTTGTAAAATAGGTACAGATATATTTTGTTAGAAAGAGCGAGAACGAAATCACTAAATACAACGGTTCAAATTGAAATAAAAGTGAAAGATACTGAGAAAATTTTGACAACACGAACACGCCGCTTACAGTTCGATCATACGGTACACTCGTGTTATTATTACCTAATCAGGTTCATGGAGCGCTTTTTTTTCCATTTTCTCCGCCGAGAAGGGCATCGGCAATTTAATCTTATTTGTTTTGCGCTGCATCTGGACAGGCCATCTGATATAAGAATTGAATTAGAGTTCTTGTTGGACGGCCTGTCATGCGATTCTTTAATAAATATGGCACAGTTCCATATCTGGTTAGCATACCAACGCCGCGAATATCCAAATGTGCCCAATCGACACATGGCACAAATTCCTATGGGATCATATCAAGTAAAGAAAAATTAATACGGGCAATGGAGAAAACAAGCTATAAAACTTGCATGAAGCACTGCGGCAGCTAAACAACTTGAAGCGGGACCGACTCCATCATTGCTGATGTCAAAGCTGACGTTGTCTGTAAGCGTGAAATTTAAGATTGGGAAAGAACATAGGTATACTTAAATCGTTGCATTGACAAACCTGCCACAAGTTGTCTATAATAACGCCATAAAGGCAAACGCCACATGCGATCTCCAGTTAAAGAACCTGCTTTTTGGAATTGCTTCCATATGTAATGAGAATTTGAGAAAATTCCTGTAGCTCCACCTCCTAAACCTTTAACAACACCATTACCCAACGTGGCGACGTCCACTACCAAGCGCGGCTTATAGGTATTTTGCGCGTACAATAGCGGATCGGCCATAACTACAACTCCGGCTTTGTCAGTGTTCTGCAAGTATGAAACCAATGGCTAAAGCGATAAAAGCCGAAGCCGTTTATTTTAAAAACTTACTCTAATCGCCAAGGTTCTACCGTTAATTAAAGTGACAATATCTCCCGGTTTCACAGCCATGCCTGACGGCATGTTTTCACACAACGGAATAACTGCCGATATGTTAACAGGTAAGGACAACGCAGCAGATGCGCGTATAGCTGCTACTACAACAGCAGCACCCGCCATGGCGCCGCGATATTCTTCCATTCCATCAGCAGGGCGTAAACAAATGCCACCACTTTATATAAGGTAAGAAGGAAAAAAACGTTTGTATGATATTAAGATTTTTTGTGATTTTTTGTATCAGTTTACCTATTGAATGTCATCCCTTTACCCAAAAGCAAAATAGGTTTGTCTTCTGGTGCAGTACCACAATAGCTAATCTCAAGCAGGACGGGTGGTTCGCACGAACCTTTGGCTATCGTTAAAAACGAGTTCAAATGCTGCTGCTCAATCCAATCCATTGTGCGTATTTCCACAGTTACACCACAGGGGCATAAAGCGTCAACCGTTGCTTGCGCGAACGTAGTGGGGGTCATTTGGTTCGCGGGCGCATCGCTTAAACGACGTGCAAGATTTTGAGCCTCAGCTTTGAAGAGGCCTCGTGTCCAGGCATCTACTTCCGGTGAATCGTAGAGCTCCAGTTTCGGGACGTTGGTTCGATTTTTCTTTTGCTTATTATCATTGTAACGCCATACAGCCAAAGCGCTGCCCTCGGCAGCTTGCTCTGGATACTCCATGGAATCTACGAACACCTCTGAACAGCCTTGCAATTGTAGGCTACGAGCTCCAACACCTGTCGCTATTCTGACATTTTCCTTAAGAGGTGACAAAATCGAAAATAATCGTGAATTGTTCAGCGATAAAAAAAATATATATATATATAAATTTCAAACATTCTCAATCAAAATTGTTAGTAATTCAATGGTTTTTCTTGTCAATTTTTTAATTATTTCAGTTTTCTTTCCTTACGTCAAAAATTTTGAAGTATCAATGACAGGCCATAACCTTAAATTTTATTTTTTCCGTATGAAAACTATAGTCTTACCATGCCGTCATCGATCATTTCCAGTTCATTGAATCCAGCGCCTTCACGGCCCACTCCAATGACAGCTACCGATCTATACTCTTGGTCGATGTTATTAAAAACTTTTCCTTTACCTAGAGTACCAGTGATGTTGCATCTACACATAACATACATACATAAATGCCAAACGTAATTTACAACGTTTTTCCCCTAATTTTAGTCTATAATGTACTTACTCTTTGATGAGCTCGGAGACCTTGCCTTGTACACGGTCATCAAATTTATCGCCACTAGGCGTTAACTTGGGATCCTTTTCGCCTTCCTTTTGATATACACCAAGAATAAGCCCTTTCTGTATAAGAAACAAAAGCAGCCCAAAAGAAACAAACCAATGCATTAATCGCTGAATTTTCTTTTTTTCGCGTAGACATTTTTTCGCTAATATCGGTGACGACAACACGAAAAACTTACCGTTACTCGTGGGTCATCAACTACGGCGTAGAATCTTTTTTGGATCCTTGAGATTTGTTGAACTTTACTATATCTCAATAGAGACCGTGTGAGCCAATTTGTCAAGCGTAGTGAAGACATATTTATTTTCAGCAAGTTTAATTAATGAATTAATTCAAATTAAATTTAATTCCTCTTCTTTACACAAAATTTTATAGGAAAAAAGGATACGTTGCTCAAAAATTTTCTATGCAAAAATATATTTAAATTTTGAATCGCTTCACTGCCTTGCAAGGCTTGTTCTAATTGATTACAAAAATTTTTATTTTATACGTTTGAGTTACATATTTTTCGACCTACTTCGTTACAAATTATATGAGTGCTTTAAAAATAAAAAAATAAAAACACTTGTTCTTCACAACAAGGTTCCATCTGAACGGTTAAAATGCTTTATATTCAAATAGAGCCCAAAAACTGTCATAAAAAGACAAGCTACGTCTCCATAATTCAAAATTTAATACTAACATACGTGAATATGGCCCAAATATTGACTCATATTGCACTTGGATTACAGGAAAAATGTGGGATAGAGCGACGAGGCAAAAATTGACAGAATGGATCAGGTGCCAGAACGCCTACACGTTATCCATAAGCTCAAGCAATCATTAATGAAACCACAAAACATTGTGAGAGTAGCATAATTGGATGAGACACTTTTCCTCTATCATGACTTGTTCGAAGAGTGTATGACAAAATAGATCGTTCGTGCTATGTAAACATTTTAAAATCTTCACTAGAGCCACATACTTTCGAGTCTAAGCTTTCGACATGTTTTGAAAAAAAGTGATGGTTCTTATTAGAAAATACTAAAGTTCCCAGCAGTTAACATCCACAACAAGTCTCCATCATAATCCCATTGCATAACTTTGTTTAAAAGTTCAACAAAATATGTTTAAAAATAACGCCGAATTTTAGAAAGATATCAACGAAACTAGATATTCTATATCGAAACAGACATTATGAAGCTTATCAGAAGCCTGAATAATATATATTTCAAGTACCAATATGTTTTTCCTATATACAGAAGGAAACAAATTGAATCAATTATAAAATACAAAAAGAAAAAAAAATGCGTATTTATGCCCGCTGCCGAAGTTTGCAACACCCTGAAGGAAGTAGTAGAGACGCTATAAGGCATATCGATCATATATAATGAGTAAATAATAGTTTGAATCGATTTAAGCATGTTTGTCCATCTATTGCAAAAAAAAAAAGAAAGGAATTATTTAGTCGTTGCTTATAAACTCCAACAGATACAACGATAAAAATTTGTACGTTCAGCACCTGCACAAAAATGGAAGCAATCGGCTCGGCTCTTTCAACGTTATAGGACATCGAAATTTCATTTATTCGCCAGTTGCAGAGATCCCATTAATTTTATGTGTAATTGGTCAGTATGAAATTTTGAATTATTTTAGGCGTGTTTATTCGTCCATTTGTGTGTCCATCTATAAACTAATTGTGGTAAACATTCTGCTGTTCACAAAACTTAAGATTTGGCAAAAATATTGAAAGCTCTTGTACGCGGGTCGTATTGAAAGTTAGCCAAATCGGGGACACGGAGACAAAGGACACGTCTATAGTGTAACATAAACTGAGAATATTCCGAGAACTTTTTATAAGCATTTTATAAGATTAATTTTTCAATCATTACACAGAAACCGCAACGGACACAAGCTGAAACTTTTCATGGTCACTCAAAAATAGAAAAAATCGGCCAGTATTATATAGAAAGTCGAAATTTCTTTTTTATTTCGAGATTCTTTATGATAAAATTGATGAGTGTAGAAGATTCGATCATAGCTAAATATAATTTTCTTAGTTGTTCACTACGCAATTACAATTTACTTCAATTTTTTTTATAGCAGCGGACATTATGCTATCTATATCCAAAGAATTTTCACACCTTTGAGATTGTTTTCCTTACATCAAATTTTTTCATTCCAATTATTCAAGCGCATCCTTAAAGCGAACAATCTATTTTTAAGGGTCTTTGATAACTATTCAGTGTTTAACAATGACATAAAAAGATGATTATGGGCATGACAAAATCTTGGAGGTGCGAAAAATCCAACTTCCCGACAACATATTCAAAACGAGTAAGGAGAATTTTCGGCATATTAATTTACACATTATTTATTAACTATCGATTGGCTTTCTTTTTTAATCAAACTTGGACCAACCACTTTATAGAGTGAGCAAAGCATTAAATATGGACAAAGATATTACTTTACATTGACTCATTCTAACCGACATCACGTGTGGTACGGGATACATTATGTTTGTGTGGACGTATGCAACACCCGGAGGGGCTTAAGATGGACCGACCTAAGCCCGACTCATCTCCACGTATTTTTGTATTCAATCTACAGGTCGTAATTTTTGAAATATTGTAATAAAAATTGGGAAACTGACGTGATCGGTTCTGATCGGTTCACTTTTTCGACCAATCCATCCCATTAAAATTTTCAACATTTTTCGACATTCCAAATTTGTACAAAAAATTTGATACGGGAAAACTGTATCTTTACATGGTAAGAAGTTCTAATACTCCAATAAAGGCCTTATTGTGTAGTGTGTAATAGTAAGCTCTGCAAAAAAAAGTTTTAATTTTTAATATTTTATAATCAAAATTTGGCAACAAAATTAATAATATGGAATTGGAATAACATAAGTCTACCCTTTAGACCCTAACATACGTAAGTATTATTGTGATAAGCCAACCTTTATACGGAGAAAATTTATAATATCTATGATGATGTTTTGGGCATCCTTCAATATGCGCGTTTTCATAAAGAGTTTGTCTTTGCATGAAAATAATGTGTAAATGCTAGTGTATTACTACCAAAACGTGTGAATAAATGTACCAGGCTAAACGGTGTAGCGCATTTAATCGACAGCCTTGCCTGACCATAATGTTTTTACATGTTTTATGTAATTTCATCAATAACATTTTTTTTCGTTATTATGCCCTACAACATATGTGGTACAGGGGTGTATTAAGTTTGTGCCGTTATATGCAAGAAGTATCATTTGAGAGGAATATAGCGATCGACTCATAATCACTTCCTCAATCGATCTAAATGTATCTTTCCATATTGTATTACCCCACACCACGTTTAGTGTGGGGTATATTAAATTTGCTCGGGAGTAAATAATAGCCAGAAAGACTTGAAATAGGTCCATCTTATATTATGCCGATTGATTTAGAATCATTTTCTGAGTCGATTTAACCTTGACTGCCCGCCTGTCTGTACAACTCTGTTCTCGTTGTAAAATTAAAACAATCAAGAAAATTACATTCCTGAGTGACCAAAACCTTGCATCCACCAACTTTATGTTATCTCTGATGGGATGGGTGACTATTTTTATTTTTGAAGAATATACAATATAATATAATATTCATGAATAAAGAGTAAAAAATCCTTAAGTCGAAGCTGTTCTAAGTTTATCTGCATTGTCGAAGGACCCTTTAACCGATTTAGCTCCGTTTCAAAGCCAACCTGCGAGCAGGAACTTGCAATGTTTTTGATAAATTAGAGTCGATAGTTTTTAATGTCGGGTCGGATGGCCAACATTCTTTATCATTGTATGGGTACTATAGAATCGCCTATAGAATAAAAGCGGAAATTTTTACATATTTAACTGCTACAGTTGTGAGGGATGAGCAACAACGTTTCTTTGTTTTTTTGCTTTTGAAAATGGAGATATTTTTAGTAATTGATCGTAGACAAATTCTCGTTACCTTTCACCTGCGTCGTTAGAGAAACAACCGGAAACAGGAATTATATTCCCAAGCGCTATAATATTTAGTAGGCTTAGTCGATCTTTCTACTTTTGTATAGATAGACAGTGTGGGATTATACGTAGAGCAAATTTTTACCCGTGTGTGTTTTAGCTGTGGTTGAGCAACAAAACCCAGTGTTTTTTACTTTTGAGAACTTGAAAAAGGAGGAACAGGGTCTGGAGTATCACCCATAGAATGATGCGGAAATAGAAAAAAGACTAAATCAATTTTAATTTACGGCCAAAAGAACGTTTATTACAGGCATTACAAAGGCGGTCAGACTTAAAACGATTCAGAATTTGACGCTGGTAAAGATTATGTGCATTTAGTGAGGTCTATGAAGATCTTTCTAGATCTCGCAATAGTTTTGACGAAATGAATATATGCCCATCCTTTAGTGACGGCTATAAGAGTCTATAATGAAACTACGCTCGAAATAGGAAATCAAGTTAAGCTTTAATTTTAATTTTAAATTTTAAGAAGCTCTTAGCAAAAAACAAGAACATTTTTTTAATCAACAAATATTTATATATACATTTATACGTTGCATACATTACATATTATATAATAAGACGTAACCCTTCCCTACCAAAAATTCACGCTATAAAGTTGTCGTGCCCCTTCGTGTCATTTCAGAAGAAACATTTCATGCACTGTGTATGTGGAAGACAACGCTAGGAGTATGCCTATGCAATGATAGAATATATTCACGCTACCTGCCATGGTAGAAATATTTGTGTATATTAATATATAGGCTGATAAAAAAAACGCCGACTGTTATTCAATCACTTATTAGTACAATTCATTCCAATGGAAACCGAAATAATAAGTATAAGAATTAAAAGTAAGAAAGTTAAAAAACAATATCTTTTTATGTGAGGAATGTACAGGATAATTTTCAATATTCGGTCGTGTTTACCTTATGAGTAATCGAGTCGAAAACGTCAAAAAAGTGAAAGAAAAAAAATTTATCGCTTAGAACTTGGTGTGGGCGTGGCCAAAAATCACAACTTTTTACTTGGAGAAACAAATGTGTGTCTCACTTACTCTTCAATGTGGGCGTGTGCTTCAAATAATTTGACGAATTTCTAATAATCTTGCCGATAGATTAGTTCTTGCGGCCAGGAACATATTTACCACAGACATTACACAGAACGGACATATGGATTTAGAATTTCATGCTAATCAAGAATATATATACTTTGTAAGGATCTCTGAAGATTTCTTCTCATACTACCATGATGGGTATAAAAATGGACGAAAATACACTTTGTTCGTTGAATGCAATCCATTT